TGTTTTTGTTTGCCCTCCATTCCTGCTCTGCTTCTTCATTGTCAACCCTCGTGACATCCAAGGATTGTTTTGTTTCTATTCCCTTGCTAACCGCCCAAGGAACTCAGAACCCTAACAGTTCCTTCTGTTTCACTACCTTCCTTTAGGGAATGAACTTAGGCAGGGGACACACAAAAAGGCAACCACTAAGATGAACTGGAAATAAAAACAGTATACACTGTTAGCTAACTATATTAAAAACTCGGGCCTGGGATTGGAGCTTAATTGGTAGTATCTCTCAGCATGAAGGAAACCCTGTATCTGATACCTAACATCCCATAAACGAGGCATGGTAGCTTCACCCTATAAGGCCAACATTCTGGATGATGGAGGAAGGTCATTGGTTAAAAAATAAACTGCTTGGCCCTGATAGGTAGAAAATTAGGTAGGCATTGTAAACAGAACAGAATGCTGGGAGAAAGAAGCTGAGTCAGGAGTCGCCATGTTTCTCCCACTCCAGACAGACGCAGGTTAAGATCTTTCCTGGTGAGCCGGTGGTGGCGCATGCCTTTAATCCCAGCACTAGGGAGGCAGAGGCAGGCGGATCTCTGTGAGTTCGAGGCCAGCCTGGGCTACAAGAGCTAGTTCCAGGACAGGAACCAAAAGCTACGGAGAAACCCTGTCTCGAAAAATCAAAAAAAAAAAAAAAAAAGATCTTTCCTGGTAAGCCAGCTCGTGGGCTACACAGATTATTAGAAATGGTTAGATCAATATGTAAGAGCTAGCCAATAAGAGGCTGGAACTAATGGACCAAGCAGTGTTTAAAAGAATACAGTTTCCGTGTAATTATTTCGGGGCATAAGCTAGCCAGGCGGCCAGGAGCCGGGGCAGCAGTAACACAGCCCGCAGCTCCCACAACATCTGGAGGTAAGGCAACTTTTCAGTTTAGGAACTTGGCGAAACGTAAACCCTCAGCATTTCTGCTACTGAACATGAAAGCAATTGCTCTAGGTCATATTTTCAAAAACCTCTTGGCTCCATGTTACAGGAAAATACTTGAAAGCTGCACAGGTTCTTTCCCTCACCAGACGTCTCCATTCACACTGCCCCAGGTGGGATGTATGAGCCAGTACTCACCTTCCCATCTTTGAGAACAACATGGCTGCTCACGTGTCTTTCTGACTTCCTTTGCTCACTCTCAAACCTTACTTTTCAGCACCAAGTTGGTGTCGCAGATTATTGCAAGCAATTCATCAGAAATCCTAAGAGCCTTAAAACCCTGGGCTGAGGAGGTAGCTCTGTGAAAGAACACTTGCCTAACAGCTTGAGGCTGGGTCCTGACTTCTCCCTGCAAACAAAATAGCCCACCGTACACCTAACATAAGCACAAGATGTCTTCTGAGGTATTCCTCCCTTGGAGCCCTATACTCAGGGGTTCTCATCACATTCTTTCAAAAATATATGTTCAGGCTGCTAAAATACAATAAAGGTTTTCTGGGGCATTATTTTTACTTTCATCCTCAACAATCTTAAGAATATATAAAGGTAGGCTTCCATATAGAACCCCCATATATCTAACACCCACATTCAATAATTCACGGATATACTTGCTTCAATTATTTTCAAAAACATTACTAAAAATCTAATTAGGCTGTAGTGTAGCTCAATAGTAAAGCACTTGCCTGGTGTGCTCAAGCCACAGAACAGTAAATATCCCTGCTTCTGTGTTTAAAATTAAATCCTAGCAAGCTCCCAAAGTCCCAATGAGGAGCAGAAGGAGGGAGAACATGAACATGGAAGTCAGGACCACGAGAGGTGCACCCATCCACCGAGACAGTGGGGCTGATCTATTGGGAGCTCACCAAGGCCAACTGGACTGTGACTGAAAAAGCATGGGATAAAACCGGACTCTCTGAACATGGCAGACAATGAGGGCTGATGAGAAGCCAAGGACAATGGCATGGGGTTTTGTTCCTACTTCATGTTCTGGCTTTGTGGGAGCCTAGCCTGTTTGAATGCTCACCTTCCAAGACCTGGATGGAGGGGAGAAGACCCTGGACTTTCCACAGGGCAGGGAACCCTGACTGCTCTTCGGACTGGAGAGGAAGGGGGAGAGGAGTGGGGGGAGGGGGAGGGAAATGGAAGGCTGGGATGAGGCAGGAATTTTTTTTTTTTTTAAAGATTTATTTATTATGTATACAACTTTCTGCCTCCACACACCAGAGGAGGGCGCCAGGTCTCTTTACAGATGGTTTGGAGCCACCATGTGGTTGCTGGGAATTGAACTCAGGACCTCTGGAAGAGCAGACAGTGCTCTTAACCACTGAGCCATCTCTCCAGCCCCAGGAATTTTTTTTAATAAAAAAAAGAAAAATAAATCCTAGCTATTACTTTATTTTTTTACCCACACATAGTTCCATGAATAATTTTTGAAATACCTGAACAGCTTTTTATAATTTAATTTTTGTATTTTGAGACAGGCTCTCTCTACATAGCCCTGGCTGTATTGGAACTCACTATGTAGAAAAGGTTGGTCTCCAACTCAGATCCACCTGCTTCTGCCTTCAGAGTGCTGGGATTCAAGGCTAATGTCACTATGCTTGGATCAACAGGCTTTTTAAACATAAGCTCCATCTAGGGTATCTAGAAAGAAATACAATACCCATTCCACAAGCAAATATCCCGATTTATCTCTAAATTATCTTTTCCCAGTTGTTTTGTTCAAGATGCCTCCAGAACAAGACCCATACAGGACCATGGCTGAGGGAGCTCTTGCGTCTTGGAACCTAGGGTGGAAACCCTTCTTTAACATTTCCCACGACACAGACAAAGCCAGGTCACTTGTGTTTGGCTTGGGATAGGTAAGGGCAGACTGTAAGGACAGGCAGCTCCAGAAGCTCCCAAGCACAGAATGCCTTCCCATTCCTACACAGTCGATTCAGGTTACGCTTTGCTATCTGGAAACCACTGGCCTCAATCCCAGACCCAAGCTGGATTTGCTACAAAACATTGCTGGCCAGAGGAGCAACAGAGAAGAGCCTTAAAGGTTCCCACCAAGGCAATTAAGTGCTTAGTCTTTAACTATATTACTCTTCATCTCATTGGCCTGAACTGGTCACATGGCACTACCCAAAGAAGGCTAGGAAGTCAGACCAGGACATTTCAGTTAGCTGCATTAATGGCCGTCTGTCTATTTACCTTTCTTCAGCTACCCTGTGAATTTACTGAAGACAGAAGTTAATTCTAGAGCACAATTAGATGACTCAAACTCTGTCATTTTGGCCAGAGTATCTCACAGGCTGCTCTACACTACTCCAGGAGAAACTCGGTATAATGGATTGCAGCAGCAGCATTACTAGCCCCCATGCACACCTCGCTATACACATGCCCTTGGGTAGACAGTTTTATTGTGGTACTGGTCTTTGCCCTGTGACAAGATCGGGAATGAGGGCAGACGTAAGCATGCCTGCATTTGGGCTCGCCTCGCCCTCTTGCTACTTTTTAGAAAACTGAAGAGGCTGAGGGTAGATCACTGAAGGAACTTCCGGGGCTGAGCACTATCCCAGCTGAAGTCACCTAGATCCAGCAAACCTTTGCTACCTAGACTAAGTTGCCAGCTGACCAAAGAAATCAGCCAATAAGGTGCAAACTGGGAAAAAAAACCTACCAGGACTGATGGGTGAAGCTGTTGCTTTCTCCAGGACATTTTGGGCTTGTCTGTAACTAAGCAGAAGCTAGCTTATACATACATCACTTAGCCCAAAGAAGCCAGTAAGCGCCGACTTGCTAGGAAGCTAGGGAAGGCTGGCAAGAGGAAGACTCAGGGAGAAGCCAAAGCCGCAGCTTGAGTTTTTGTTGGGGAAGAAGTCTTTATCCTGTTAAGACTTCCAGACATCTAAGCAAGGCCTAGCACTTTACGGAGTGCAATCCACTTTACCAAAACCTACCAATTTACATGCTTAGTTTATTAAAAGTGAACACCTTCACAGAAGCACCCAGAATAATATTGACAAACCTCTAGTCACCATGGCCCAGTCAGCTGATAAATAAAATAACCATGACAAATACACTATGTAGTGGGTTGAACTTCATCTCCCCAAATGACACAATAAAATCATAATAACTAGAGGCTATGAATATGGCCTCACTTGGGTCCTTCAGTGCAGTTATGACTAGTTAGGATGAGCTCATACTGAATAGGGTAGACCCTTAATTCAATATGACTGCTGTCCTTAGAAGGGGAGACACAAGGAGACAGTCAGTCAGAGGGAAGAAGGTGTATTTTGTAATTGTTTTATAATTTAGTTTTTTGCTAAATTTGTTATTTAAGTAAAATAAAACAATAATAAGACATAGTCAGAAGTCTTGATCAGTCTATCCACAAGGTTCCTTGTTTCATAAAAATATCAGGACTTAATGCCAATAATGACTGTTTTGGGAAAATAAAGATGTTTTTAAATTTCTTTGACATCTTTTCAAATCATAAATAAGTAAAAAAAATTCATCAAAATCAAGACAAACTATCAAAAAACAAAAACACAACAATAACAAAACAAATAAAAAAAAAACCCAAAAGCCCACAAAGCTTGATTTTAGTGTGGCTGGGTCCTGGGACTGTGGTCACACCTTCCCTTCAGTCTGGCTGGGTCCTGGGACTTAGCCACACCTTCCCTTCAGTCTGGCAGGGTCCCAGGACTGTGGTCACACCTTCCCTTCAGTCTTGGCTGGGTCCTGGGACCTAGTCACACCTTCCCTGCATACTCTCCCTCTTCTATACCCCCACACTGTTTACTGCTTACACTGCTCTCTCAGCTTTTGCAACAATCACTTAATAATTTAGAAACTTAGTGCACAGAGAGCTGAGAAGCTCTTATAGTAGGTGCTATAGAGGCACAATGAATTATAAATTTAATGAAGCATTCTGAAGTCAAAATTTCCTCATTGCCGCCAACAGTGCTGATTCATGTAACCAGAATTTGCCAAAAATACTGAAGAAAATATGAATAAACATGGAAACAGAGTGATACAAATCTCTTTAATAGCAAACATATCAAAGATAACTTTGTGTTTCTATAAATATATTTTTAGAGTAGTTCAGAGCATTTTGTTGTAATTACTAAGAAATATTTGAGACTGTTAGTCCCTCTGCAGAAATGCTATGAACAGATGCAAAATGGTCGAAGGCTGAAACAATAATGAATCTCAAGAAAGTGGCGTAGCCATCTCGTGCCTGTAAGGGGAAAAAAAATCAATATGGATGTTTCTAGCAATCCTAGCAATCTGTTAACAGGCAGCTGGCAGAAGAAAGGCCTTGATGAAGAGAGCTTTCTAACATGTAACAAAATGTAAGACAAGTCAGCTCCGTCTAGCAGTTGTCCGGGAGTGAGTCAGCATGGTATCTATCACTCCTGCTTTTATGATACACAGTGGGAGGACTGGACTATACATTACAAATGTACACTGCTGACCAACTGTTTACAAGTGTCTTTCTAAAGTACTGTTTGTGCTAAGCGGTTTCTGTTGGTTAGTGATGACTTGGAATATACTATACTGAAGCATGACTATACTCTCACATTTATATAATTTCCCTGGAAACCAATTTGGAGATATATATATCTTGTGACCAGCAATTTCATTCCATAAAATTTAATCCTAGAAAATTAAAAATAAAAAGTTGAAGGTCATAATGTTCAGAGCATGTACTAATGTTCCCTAGGAATTACTTGTAATGACAGAGAAAAATAAACTATCTTAAATATATGTAAATATGTAAATAGTACCTTAAAAGCATAATTATAAAGCTTGGGATATAATATTAAGTTTAAAAAGATGATATAAAGTTTTCTACACGTCTTTGCTGTACCATCTGGGGTTTATGGTCAGCAGCTAGAACACCGAATGGAGCTGATCTGCTGACAATAACAAAGTGCCCATTCCACCTCACCACTTTCCAAACGTTCCATAACCCTCCCCAGTGAGTCCTCAACAAATACCAAAGAATGCAGAGGCTTCCTAACCTGAGCCATAAAATTCAGCATAATTAATCTTTTTTTTTTTTTTTTTTTTGAAGGGGGGAATCCCACTGTCCTCTCCAGTCACTGGATGAACTTAGGTGGGAGAAAAGTGAACTGTGGGATTCAAACACTGCCATGGACTTTCTGTGTGTGCATGTATATGTCAGTGAGCCACAAAGATCCCTCTGTCCCTGTCTCACCAGCACTGGGTTTACATGTGGGTGCCACCTTGTTCCACATCTCTGTGGGTGCTGGAGAGCAAGCTCAAGTCTTAACACTTGTATTGCAAGAGGACTGAGCTCTCCCCACCCTCTGAGGAGTCTTTGAAATGCTGATTTCACAGCTGCTCTGGGCAGGATGAAAAGCTACAACCCTGCAGGTAGATGTTCTGGAAGAAAGCAGCTGAACACCAGCACTGGCACCTAAACACACTTGGAGTGGTTTACTAGTTCCTGTTTGTTTAAAACTAGGGCATGACAAACTAGCAGAGACAAAAGACTCCTGACGTCAGCGGGCATTCATTCCACTTGACAGGAGAGTCCAACGGAATGCTGTCGGAAAACATTGGTTCATTTCCACTTCAGCTGTCTCTGGCTTATTTGTTGCTGATCCTATGCTCCAGTTCCCTTATCTAAACCTCTCTTGTCCTTTCACGCGTAACTAACACCCAACTTTGACATCTCAACACTTTTAGTCTCCTATTCTAAATGGCCCCCAGAACCATATGAAAGAAAGTAAAGAAATACTTTAAAAATAAATTATTGAGCAAAATAAAACAAATAAATGAATTCAATTCTGTTTTTCCATACAGCCACTTTCTCCAAGATTGGTTTTAAAAAAGAGCCTAATTAATAATACATTTAGCTAATAATATTATTGAGAATAATCTCTAATGGTTAAGAAGGCAAAAGGCTACTAATACCATGAGGATATTCATCATGAATAATTCATACTAGGAAAGTTTAAAATCTAAATTGGGCTCACTAAAGATAATCTTATCTCTAAAAAGTATATACACTTACCATAATTTCTTCATTTTGAAGCTGCCCCTCTGTATGTACCAAATCTAAAACACAAAATTTAATAAAAATAGATTAAGGCTCAAAGATATGAGGATAGCTATGGAAATTTGTGAGCAGCAAAACTGATTATTTGGCAAACTATAAGTTAAAGTCAGATTGAAAGAAATTATCATTACTTAGGGGTTGATTTGATATAGACATTTGACTTTAAAACAACTAATGAGCTATAAAATACTCTAGTCAGTATAAACAAAAGACAATTCATATGTAAATATAAAGAAAGAAATTGATAAAATGCAGAGATTCTCCCCCTGCTTTTACTGATCAAGCTCCTAACAGTAATTTCAGACTTTTATGGAAGAAACCATCTTTCCCGCAGGAAAACTTCACTGTGAGGCAGAATGGCTGTAACATGATCTCTCCTGGCACTTAAGTCTAATAATATACAACTGGAATAATTTACTTAGCCATGAGTTAATTATTTTGAGTATTCAGAAGTGTGAACTATTTAATTAATATAATAATACCTTTTGACATTAATGTGTTCCAAATAATGTACAGAATTTCAAAAGCTACCCAGGACCAAAGGGGAAGACTTTGGGAAGTATGATCCCAGCGACCTTTTCTCTCCATCCTAATGCTTTTCTTAGATAATGAAAAACTATTATCCCCTGCTTTCCTCTGTGCCTTCTCCTCTAGCTATGCTGCCAATCAGTAAATGTTTCCACTTTCTAGCTTGGTATCGGGTACATACCCGGAATCCCAGCACTCAGGAGCCTTAGGCAGAAGTTCTAAACCAGCCTAGGCTACATACAGAATAAAAACATGTATAAAAAGTGGGGTGGGAGGTGGCGGGGAGGGGGGGATGAAGGTGGGGGCTGAAGAGATGGCTCAGTGGTTAAGAGTACTAAATATTCCTCTAGAGGACCGGGGTTCAGTTCCCAGAACCCACATAGCAGTTCACAACTGCCTATTAACTACAGTCTCAGAGGATTTGACGCCTACCTTCTAGCCTCTGTGGGCACCAGACGTGGATGTGGTGCATAGATATCCACGCAGACAAAATATCCATACACATTAAATAAATAATTCTTTTTTAAAAAATTTAGGTTGTTTTTGTCTGGAATTTTATGTTTATACTCTTTTTCTTATTTATCTGTAAGTTAAGTTTATATTGTGGTAAGTATAAATCTAGGTTTCTTTAACCAATACCCATGCCCTGGTCTAACTACATGAACAGCAAGCAGACTGCTAAAGTAAGAAACCAGTTATGAACCAGTTATGAACTAGTCTCATTTATACTTTCCACATCACTACTCTCAAACTCTAGGCCTTCCTGGAGATCCATGTAATAAATTAGCTTACTTCTTGATATTTTCCTCGGAAGGAACTAGGTTACAACCTAATCTGCTGTGTTCTAGAAGTTACTGCTATCGCTCTGGCAATAACATCTATTGATCTACATTTGCCTGGTTTGTTTTCTTTTCTCGCTTTAGTTTTATATGTTTTTATTCTACTGTTTTGACAATATTTTCTAAGAGAAGGAGATAAACACATGAAGTTATTCTGTATGTTTGTGCTTAAATGGATAGCAATTTAGTTGGTTATGTTTATCGAAAAGAATTTTTTTTTTAAACTGGGACTCAATATGTCATGCTGGGTAGCTTAGAAAGATCTATGTAGATCAAGCTGGCCTCAAACTCAGAGATCTCCCTGCCTCTGCTTTCTGAATCCTGGGACTGAGGACATGTGCCATCATGCCTGGCTTAGCTGATAATTAAACAGTACCATTAATCAGGAAAAAAGGTACAAAATCAACATTTGTTTGTCATACATAAGCCATTAGCTCACAAAAGTCTTAAATGTGTCATCTCTATATCTCTATTTTTTTTTTAAAGTTTTTAGTTTTTCAAGACAGGGGTTCTCTTTGTAGCTCTGGCCATCCTGGAGCTCGCTTTGTAGACCAGGCTGACCTCGAACTCACAGACAGCCTCCTGAGTGCTGGGATTAAAGGTGAGCACCACCACTGCCCAGTTTCATCCCTATTTTTGAAAATGTTAATTGTTATATAAACAGCACATGAAGAAGACTACAAAATATGTGGGGTTTTTTTTGCTTTATCTGTGTTAAAGAATCATTAAATCACATTTATTTACCAAAATGCATTTGAACTGATAGCATAGAGTCAGAGGCCAGGCATTTACTCACTCATACTCAAAACAGTACTGGCAACATACACACCTTTTTCAACCCACTGCTCAAAATCGAATGGCTCTTTAGATGTGGTCTTTTCAATCCTCAAGGTTTGCACTGGCATTATAAACAGAATAGAGATGTTAATTAGCTATTTAATTCCATTTTGTTGTTTCCGTTCTTCTTTTCCCTGCTACTTGACTGCCATAAATTGATGGGTATTAATTACACAAAGTGCTAGGACCAGGAATAACACATTCTGGATGCTATGACTGTTTTTCCTTAAGTCCCTATGGCAAAATATAACACTGTATCATGGCAATCTTGCCAGTGTTTATCACTACAGAGCACAAATCTAATAGAGCTTTTCTGAATCTGGCTATGATACTTCTGGTAGCCATGATCATAAGCCTTTATGGAGAACAGGCTTTGAGTCAGGCATGTTTGTTTATTCTCTCTTGGCTGAAGTCTTTATGAGAAAGGTATTACTAACCACTTTCCTGATGAGGACACAGGCTTACAGTGCCAGGCAAGGTGTCCAAGGGACTAAAGCTAGCAAATGCAGACAAGAGTCCACACATGAGGCCTGCCTGGCTGTAGAGTCTCCACATTCATATGAGAAGCATACCAAGCATCAGTTAACTTCCTTCTGCACAGGCTTTCATCCATTGTCCCCACATGACCCCCAGAACCATCCTTCCCCTTCTCTGTCCTATTCTGGAGGGGCTGACTTCTATAGATTAGATCTCCTGGACTAACTTACCAATTAGCTTCTCTGTGGAGTTGGCTAGAGGCATGCACCAAAAGATTGGAGGGCAGAATATTTTATCTACACTCTGTCCTGATTCATGCCATGTCTTTGATAGTGGTCCTGTCCTTTCAAGACTAAAAAAGCTCCTGCTAGCCAGACCCACTGCTAGTACAATCCCCAAATCTCCCTGGGCTTTAGTAACACTTCCCTTTCCTTGTCCCAGGACAGCAGTGGCTCCCTGCTGCAGCTAGTTTCTGAGGGCCATTATCCTTTATTCATTCCTGCAGCCCAGGCCAGGATTTCATAAGTAGATCTATTAATAAAGTCTCTTCATTGGAAACATCTGGGATCTAGTCTGTTTCTTGCCATGATTCTGTCTGATACACTCACTGTATTACAGATAGGACTTGATGTTCCAAGGGGAGATTCTACTCTTACTCCTCAGAAAATATCATCAGCAATAGACGAATCAAAACTATCCAATGGGTATAATTGGGGTTATCAGATTTACAGAAAGAATCTGAGAACTACAGGCTAAATGAACCTAGGATGAAGATGTCATAGAACCTAGTATCTTGGCAAGCCAACTTCTAGCATTCCTAACAGAATCTTCTGCCAAAGACTTTCACCTAGTAAACTGCATGGCGATTATGATGTGCTTCGGAAGGGTCTCAATTGAACAGCGGCTAATTGTGCTGAAGGTAGCCAACCCACCCATACTTCCCACCTCCCGTTTCAGCAATGAAACTCAGTCCCATGCTGTAAAGAAAGACTAGTCTTTTGCCAAAAGTTGACATCTGTCTTCTGCCTATAGAAAAATTAAAAGAATAATAAAAAATTAAGTGTGATTTGCTTACCTAAGTAACTTTGGATCACGAGTTTTTCAATCTTTACGTGTTTGTGAAAACAAATAATGAACTCCTGGGGAAACATACCCGTGGTGGTCCAAAAGGTTTCTGGATTCCTAATGGTAATTTTAAAGGAATAAAAGAAATAAACAGATATAAAAATGTAATCATAATGTTCTAATGAATAAATATTAAAAACGGTTACTGTCTTATTTTAGAATCCTTTTCTAACTTAGTTCTGCCTATAATCTCCCCAATTTAGTACTTTAATTGACAGATATTCTCTTCTTATGCTGAAACTGAACTGATGTCACTCTCATCTAAAAGGCTGCAGCGTTCCCCTACTGACTTTATAGCCAGCCTCTTCAGTTCCATCGTTAAAGTATATTGCCTCCCATCACTACGTCACCCCATCACTGCTGCCACAGCCAGCTGCTACCACTCTCCAACACATCATGCAGACACATGCTTCTATACCGAACCTAATGAGTTCTCTTGATCCCAAAGTCCTTCTTCCTCTTGCAAAAGTTTATGGTCCCTTCTCCAACACCAGCTGATGAGAATCATGTCCTCTGTGCTTTTCACTTGTCTCACAGCATCCGTTCCCACCCTAGACACGTATCTCTTGTGCTTTTATGACTCCTGTGGACCCAGGCACTTGCCTTTCGGTATTTTTAACAGGCTCTTATTTTTTAAAGATTTACTTATTTATTAAGTATACAGTGTTATGTCGGCATGTATGCCTGTACACCAAAAGAGGGCATCAGATCTCATTATAGATAGTTGTGGTTGCTGGGAATTGAACTCAGGACCTCTAGAAGAACAACCAATGCTCTTAACCTCTAAGGCATCTCTCCAGACCCAACCTTTCTTTATTTTTATGTTCTTAATAACTACTATAATAGTTATTAATATACCCATAGTATATTCACTATGTTTGCTGGGGAAAAAAAGCCATGAAGTTCAATTCAGGTCTCATTTACACACACTTTATATATATAAGCATATATATATAAGTATATATATAACATATATATATGTTAAAGACATTTGTATAGTCAATATGATATGTGAAATAGTCTATTGCAGGTGTTGGTGTAGAATGTCTGTCTTTGTGTTGCTTTCATTGGTTAATAAAAAAACTGCTTTGGGCCCTTCATAGGGCAGAATTTAGGTAGTTGAGGAAAATTAAATGGAATGCTGGGAGGAAGAAGGCAGAGTCGGAGAGACACCATGAAGCTGTCAGAGTCAGACATGCTGAATTTTACCTGGCAGTGGCAATAAACAGATTAATAGAAATGGGTTAAATTAAGATGTAAGAATTATCTAATAAGAAACTAGAGCTAATGGGCCAAGCAGTGATTTAATTAATACAGTTTCTGTGTGGTTATTTCGGGGCTAAGCTAGCCAGGCGGCCAGGAAGAACAAGTGGTACGACATTGGCTAAAGGAATATTCATTTCTATTTTAACAATTTAAGCCTTTTCTTTCTTTTTTGGGAGTAAAAGTTAAATACAATAAAATTTAAGTGTAATGAGTTTTGATAAATGTATATTCTCATGTAACTAATTCCCTAAGGTAACCAATACCCCCAGTGAGGATAGAGAACATTCCCATGACTTCAGAAATTCCCTCTTTCTTCCAGACAATTTCTACACTCCCTTAGTCAACAACTGCTTTGATTTCTATCATAGATCACGCAATGGTTTACGCAATGAACATTACTTTATTCATTCCTTTGCAGTTTCTTTTTCAGTGCTGGGGCGTGAACTGGAGACCTTGCATGTGCTAGGCAAGGGCTGTACTGCTGAGCTACATCCTTAGCCTGTTCTGTCCCTGCCTCCCTCCACCCCCCACCCCCCCACCCCCGCCCAAGATGGAGTTGCTCTGTGTAGCCCTAGCTGCCTTGGAATTCACTCTGTAGACCAGGCTGGCCTTGAACTCACAGGTATCTGTCTGCCTCTGCTCCTGAGTGCTGGGATAAAGGTGTGCGCCACCACTGTCAGGCGTCTGTACAGTTTTTTTTGAAGCAAGGCTTCCCTAGGTTGCTCAGGATGGCCTGAAACTTGCTACACATCTGAGGATGACCTTGAACTGTTCATCCTCCGGCTTCACAGCTCTCCACTTCCCAAGTGCTGGGCCTACATGTGTGCACCACCACACTCAGTTTTATACCATTCGGGAACTAAACCCATGCTTCATGCATGCAGGCAAGCACTCTACCAACTAAGCCACATCTCCAACTGCTAAGTGAAATTCACAAATCGTTACTTCCAATTAATATACAGCAATACAATTTATTTTAATAACCCCTTGATTTTTTTGCATCCACTGCGTTTACTTACTAGTTCTACTAATCTCTCCCCCTCCCTTTTATCTTTCGAGTCAGGAGGTTGAGACAGGGTTTAACTATGAAGCCCAGCTTGGTCTTATCTTCCTATCCCAGCTTCTCAAGTGCTTGGATATAGGCTTTTGCCATCATGGCCAGTTTTTTTTTTTTTTAAATATTTATTTGTTTATTATGTATACAATATTCTGTCTGTGTGTGTGCCTGAAGGCCAGAAGAGGGCACCAGACCTCTTTACAGATGGTTGTGAGCCACCATGTGGTTGCTGGGAATTGAACTCAGGACCTTTGGAAGAGCAGGCAATGCTCTTAACCACTGAGCCATCTCTCCAGCCCCCAATGGCCAGTTTTTTTGTTGTTTTGTAAATTTTATGAAGACAGCCACATAATGTGAGAACAGACAACTTTGCTGTGTTTCTCATCTCTCTCCCTTTTATGTCTGTTCCCATCTTACTGTACTCACTAAGATCTCCAGAAGACAGAACCAGCAAGAACGTTTCCAATCTTAGGGGGAAAGTATTTTCAGTTTTACCACTGAGCTAAAAAGGTCTTCTATGTCTTTCTTAGACTGAGAGATTCTCTTCTCTTAGGGTTGAGAGCAGATACCAAGATGAACAATGGAGTTTGTCAAATGCTTTCTTAATATAAGATTTTTTTCTTTCTTTTTAAAAAATTCTATATACAGTGCTCTGTCTGCATGTATGCCTGCAGGCCAGAAAAGGGCACCAGATCTTACTACAGATGGTTGTGAGTCACCATGTGGTTGTTGGGAATTGAATTCAGGACCTTTGGAAGAACAGGTAGTGTTCTTCACCACAGAGCTGTCTCTCCAACCCCAGCTCTTTTAAATCTTGAGGCAGGGATCATACATATAGCCCAGGCTACCCCCAAACTCATGCAACCAAGACGAGCCTTGAACTTCTGATCTTGCCTTTACCTCCCCAATGCTGGGGTTATAGACATGTGCTCATTCTACTAATATGTTCTAAATTTCACCTTGTATTCATGTGATATTATGAATGGATCAGTCTTGTTTTCCCAGGGTAAACTATACTTTTTGAATTCAGTTTTTTGGGTTTTCATCATTTTTTGTTTGTTTTTGTTTGGTTGAGACAGGGTCTTCCTACAAAGATCAGGCTGCTTCTGCCTGGAACTCATGATGATCCTGCCTCAGCCTCTCCAGTGTGGGGATTACAAGAATGTACTACTATGTCCAATTAAATTTAAAATCTTTTTATTAAAAATTTTCAATTTAGGGCTGGAGAGATGGCTCAGTGGTTAAGAGCATTGCCTGCTCTTCCAAAGGTCCTGAGTTCAATTCCCAGCAACCACATGGTGGCTCACAACCATCTGTAATGAGATCTGGTGCCCTCTTTTGGCCTGCAGACATACACACAGACAGAATATTGTATAATAAATAAATAAATAAATATTTTTAAAAAATTCTCAATTTACTTTCAGAAAGAACAATGGTCTTCAATATTCTTTCTTGCAATGCTCTGCCTGGTTTTAATAATAGAAAAATGCTAGCATAATACTTGATGGAAAATCTCCCCTTCCCATCTGTTGAGGGTTGATTTCAGGCAGCCCAAAACATGGTAGGCAAGTACTCTATCACTGAGCTATTCTCCAGCTTTATTATTATAAGGGTTTGTAAAACATTGGTATTGCTTGAGTGTTTGATAGTTTCTGTAATGGGTAGGAGTTTGTTCTAGTTTTCTACTTCACCTTGTATCATTTAATTTTTAAGTTTTATTTTATTGTATGGGTGTTTTCCTGCCTGTATATCTGTGCATCATGTATCGAGTGAGGCCAGAAGAGGGCATTGGATTGCCTGGAATGGAGTTACAAACTCCTGTGAGTTGTCACATGGGTGTTGGCAACTGAACCAGGATCCTCTGCAAGAACAGCCAGTGCTCTTAACTCCAGCCCAACCTCATGTCATTTTTACAGTTTAATTTATTAGCTTGATTTTGTTATTTATAATGTAATGGCTATATTTTCAGACTTTGTATGAATATGGTTTCTTTCTTTTTAGTACCGAATATTTATGCTTTCTGTATTTGTTTGCTTGTTGAAACAGTCTCTTTATGTAGCTTTGCTGGTCCTGAATTTAGGAGTCTCCTGCCTCACCTCCTAAGCACTAGAATTACAAATTAGAGCTGGAGATCATGCTCACGGCTTCACGCATGAGCAGGTAAGCAATCTACTAACTGAGAGACATCCACGGTCATGTTACATTTACTTCCATTTTCTCTGGGTCTAATTTGTTTCTTTTTCTAGATTCCCAAGTTGAAATTTTATATTGGTTTTATTTTTTTCACTTTTTCAGACAGGGCCTCCCTATGTAGCCTGGAGGTCTTCTGGGTACTAAGACTGCAGGGGTGAGCTAGCTTTCCCAGCTGAGAGCATTCTCTCCGTGACTTCAGTCTTCTGAGATCCACAAGACTTGTTTTCAGTACACTTCAGGGAAATTCAATGTGCGCTTGTTTCAGATCCCAGCGATGACAGTATTTCAAGTCACTTAATCAAGATAACTGAGAGCATTGTTGAGATCATCTGAATCTTTATTGACTCACGTTGTTGTAGCTTTATTGAGAGACGGATGTTAAACTATCCAACTGCAGAGTTCATTCATCTTCCATACATATATGGACTCATGTAGAATTGTAACTTCCTAAGTAATTGATCCTCTTACAGTATAAAATACCCCTTTATTCCTAAAAATCCTGCCTTGATTTCTACTTTATTATGAATGTAGCTAAGCCTTT